ATGCAATTCACAAAATTATAGTTATTTATAAAAGAATCATCCTTGCATATATGTTTTAATTAATAAATCATCAAACTTTTAAAAATTGTTTACTTGGATCATTTAAACCCAAAAAAATGCTRCATATTTATTAATAATTTATATTAATTAAAATATAATATAAATAAATAAATAAAAGAAAATAGAATAAATAATATATATTAATTAATATTTTTTTTTAAATAATAATAAAATAAAAAGTAATAATAACAAAATGACAAAAAAGACACAAAAAATCATAAAACAAATTATGTTGAAACCTACTTAGGGGTGCCATTAGCCTCCCCCTATAAAAATCCAACCATAAGAAAAGATTGTACAGTACTGGTTCAGCTTCACACAACAAATCCAAAATATTTGCCAAATCAAAGCTTGGTTGCTATCAAGCCAATTGAAACCGCCTTTGGAGCAGTACCATCTTTCACATGGCTGCTGCTATCTTTCACATTTGACTCACAAGCTCCAGATGGAACGTCTATCGTTGGGGAGCAATTAAAAAACCCATGTGGCTGCAACACAATCTCAATTTCAATCCCAACAAATATACAACTATTTATGTATTCAAACACCTGAACCATAAACCCAATCCGCTCTACAAGCGTTATAGGCCAGTCTTCCAACCTAGGAGCATGAATGATACCGAATACATACCTGCAATTTTCAATATATATAAAATGTTTGATAAGCTCTTGCTGTCAAAAGGATCAGTAAATGTGACCGGGAATCTCACCAGAGGATGATATCAGGTAATATTGGGTTGTGTAGGAAGAGAAGGTCTTAGACCGTGAATTGGCTCGTGCACCAGGTAGGCATTTGTGTAAACGTCCCCTTACTTAGGAACGGGAGAATCTCGTCTAACGGATATGACTCTGGCAAGTTAGTAGATTCTGATAAGCTGCTTCCAAATGGAAAAAGATTCGTTTGGAAACTTTAGTATAGCAATAGAAATATACAATTAAAAGTGAGATTACCTGATGGAGACATACACTTGAACACAAAAAGCGTCTTATCAACAAAATCACCATTAGAGACCCCCCATTTAGAGCATGAATCTGCCTTGAACATAAGAACTCGTTTCAAATGGATAAATTTATTTATTTTCATCTACTTTTAGATGATTTTGAAGTTAAATATGGACTTCTTTTTAAACATAATTGCAAAAAAGATGACACAAAAATGAAATTTATCAAGATTATGAAGTAGAACACTCATATTATAAAGATTGGGACAAATTGACCAGGTTTAAGTCAAAATCTTGCTTAATAAGGAAGTTTTATCATGTATGAGGGTATAAGAAATGATGAATGGCTCGTGCCAGAACAATGTTCAATCAAAGATAGTGCCCGTCTTGACACCCCGGTTGCTAAGCGTTGCATTGTACTTCTCTGTTATGCATTGTAAAGCAACACATATCTTTCAGCTACATCCATATAAGAACATGATCAAAGAGAAATGTTGTTCAACACCTATTCCAGGTTTACATTAGAAAGTTCTACATGTTGCAAAATATAACAGTAGTGTTTATTCTCATAGCACTTACTATGAAGTTCAATTTGGTTATAAGCCTTCAAAATAGTTGGTGTTAGGTTTCCGTACCAGAGGTCAAGACAGAGACTCTGTGGCAAATAATTTATCCCACTCAAAAGTCTAGCTGCTTTGAATTTGAAACTATGCAAGAAAATATAGCTCTTTCTACAAAAAGAACTACAAGTAGAAGTGCGCTAGAACCAAAACCTGCATCAAAATCCATGTTTCTTTTGTGATTAGAAGGTTCTATGTTTGACATTAACAATCAAAAATGTAGGTCTTATTTTGCTACAGAGAGAAAAATACATTTCGAGGTTGAATTTCAATTCACTTCAACCTCCAAAAACGGCATCTGTCTTACACATGTCTGATCAAACAGTTGGAATGCATGTATGAAACCTCAGTAGTTCAGCAGAAAAGGCATTAGAGTCAGAGACTTATCCTATCCATTTCAAACGGATAGCCCACTCAAAACCCTACAAATTTCTCTTCAATATCATGCTTTTGACGGTTCCAGTGAAGCAACTTGTTAGAAACTATAAACTTTCCTAGAGAAGATGCTTTTGAAGTTAAATATGGGGTATTACGAAGAAGACTATAAACTTTCATCATCGTAGAGAAGAAGATTTCTTAAAAATAATTTTAACCGAGCAATAACAAAATTCATTTTCATCATCGTTACTCAATGGGGTATTACGAAGAAGACGTACCTCATGTTCTAGCCGTTGATGATAATCTCATTGATTGAAACCTGGTCGAAAAATTGCTCAAAAGTTCTTCCTGGATATCAATGAAGAGAAGAGAAGAGGAGAAGTAGAGATTGATAAATGGTGATGGTTTCAAAAACGTGAATCGCTGTTTTGGGAGAAGGAATCGTTGCCTTGGGAGAAGGAATCGAGTGGGAGAATGAACCGATTTCTTGGAAGCGGCTAAGGATTTGTTTTCAAGGCTTAGGGGCTGTTTGGCGGTTGCTGAATGGTTTAGTGCAGAATGGTTAAGTGGTCAGAATGGTTAAGAGGGGCAGAATGGTTAAGTGCTGAGTGAAATAATGTTGTTTGGTACCTGTTCTCTGAATGACAACAAATTACTATTTTAACCCTCGAGACAAAGGAGTTCCATTCTAATCAAATTAAGGTTATCCAATTCACAAAAGAGTCCATACAACATAAAATACTTTACACCGGCGACCGRCGATAGAACCAAAATCATCCAAATATACCCTATTGTGTTCAAGTGAAGCTACTGTTAAGCATACCGGCGACCGGCGACCAGTGATTTCTAGCGTTCC